CGTGCTCCTCACTCCTCCTTGCTTCGCCCTGCCACCGCGCCACTCTAGACCCTGCACCTGGACGTCGGGGGCCCCGCCCCCGTCCCCGGGCCACGTCGAGAGAAGCTACTTTCTAGTGCTAATCGATGACTACATGCGCTACACCACGGTGTTTCCCCTGGAAAGGAAGGCCGACATGCCAAACGTTATTATCCATAGATCGTAGTTGCGCGTGTCCACCGCGGTCTCCCCGTGCTATGTCTCCACTCCGACCATGGTGGCGAGTTCGCCTCAGGTCGGCTCGCCCAGTTCTGTCGTGCGGAGGGCATCACCCAGTCGTACACCCTGCCGAACTCCTCGCAGTAGAATGGGGTCGCTGAGCGACGCATCGGTTTGTTCATACAGGTGGCTCGTACCTCCATGATCCATGCCGGTGCACCCCATTTTCTGTGGTCGTTCGCTATTCGCTATGACGCTCACCAGCTTAACCTGTGGCCACACTCCCAGCGGCCGCAGGTTTCGCCGACCCTTCTCTGGACCGGGTTCCCTGGTGACATGTCTGCGTTCCACGTCTGGGGCTGCCTTGCACACGTTCGTGCCTCTAGCACGGACAAGCTCACTGCCCATACAATCCCTTGTGTCTTCCTTGGCTTCCCCCTCGACTTGTCTGACTGGCACTTTTACCACCCGCCGTCCCACCGCTTCTTTCACTCGCGTGACGTCACCTTTGACGAGTCTGTCTCCTTCTACCACTGCATTCCCCACAGAGGTCTCCCGGTTTTCCCGCCCCTGTTTCTGGTTCCCACTACCCTGGTAGCCCTTGCTCCTCTCCCCTCCCATCCTGCCCCATCTGGTGTGTCTCACATCACTCCCCTCCTGTCAGTTGTCCCGCTCGAGAAGTCGCCTTAATCTGGTGGCCCCGTGGCTCCGTTCTTGCCGTCGGTCTCCGCCCCAGTGTCTCCTCCTCCGCTGTTGCAGCAGCAGCCGCCGTCGCCGCAGCAGCAGGAGCTGCAGTCGCCACCGCCGCAGTCTCCGCCGAAGCAACATCCGCCGCAATGGTCCACGGGTCTAGGGGGTGGCAACGGTGCTGGAGAGGGTTCCCGTTCTAGGGGTGCTGGCGTGGAGCTTCTTGGCGGTAGCCATGGTACAGCTGGAGGTTCTGGTGTCGGCATGGAGCCGCAACCGTGGAAGTCGTCGTCGGTGCCGACCCTTTGCCTCCTCGGTCAACCTTCACCCGACCCCCCGCCTACGCCTCCTTCGCCGCCGCCTCCCCTGCATGTTTACGACCCTATGTTTCCTCTGCCGGACTCGTCGCCGGCTCGTTTTCACCCTCGTTCCCCTCTGGTGTCTCCTCCTCTGTCTACTGACCCGACGCCTCCTTCTCACGTCTGGTCTCGCCGTCCCTCTCATGCTCATCCTGTCTCTCCTAATCCCCGCTCTCACCCTATGTTGCTTCGTTCTCACGCGTCTCGTCCTCCCCTCCTCCCGTCGCCTCCTCCGTCATCGCTTGTTGTCACACCGCCTCATTTCTCTGACTTCCTTCGTGCTGCTAAAACCCCTTGTTCCTCGAGTCCTTGCATCGCTCGTTACCGACCCCTCTGTTCCTGTCTCCAGTCTTGATGCGCTTGTTGCTGCCGTTGCTGACTTTGCCTCTACCCGCCGCTTTGACTACGCCACCGCTCTGGTCTCTGACCTTTCCTGTACTCCGTCCGTAAGGTGTGCTCCTGCCCTCGGTAGTGATGTCGTAGAGGACAGGCAGTTCGAGCTAGCTTTCATGTCCGAGGCTGCGCCTCATCTTTGCACCATGCTGCTAGACCCTGAGGGTGACCCAACTGCCCTCGACATCTCGACACCTCGCACCTACGCTGAGGCCACCTCGGGACCCTGGGCCTCACAGTGGATAGCTGCCATGGAGCAGGAGATGGCATCTTGGAGATCCACCGGCCCCTTCGTCGACGCAGTTCCCCCACCTGGGGTGAACGTAGTCGATGGCCGGTGGCTCTTCAAGGTGAAGCGCCCCCCTGGAGAGCCGCCTGTGTTGTAGGCGCGCTACGTGGCTAGAGGCTTCAGTCAGGCGAGGGTGTTGACTACTTTCAGACCTGCGCCCCGTCCTCGAAGATCATCACTCTTCGGGCACTGCTACACGTAGCAGCAAAGCGGGACTACGAGCTGCACTCTCTCGACTTCTCGTTAGCGTTTCTTTAGAGCAGTCTGCACGATCAGGTCTACCTACGTTGCCCACCAGGCTTCACTGGTTCGTTCGACCCTGGGACCGAGTGGCTGTTTCGTCGCCCGGTTTACGGCCTGCGGCAGGCGCCCCGCGAGTGGCACGACACGCTGCGTGCTACCCTAGCTGACCTGCAGTTCTTTCCATCCACGCTGCATTCTGGTCAAACCCCGTTGTACATCCCTGTCTACGTTGACGACCTAGTCTTTGCTACTGCAGACATAGACGCACTGGCCTCCGTGAAGGCTGAGCTGCTGGGGAGACACACCTGCACTGACCTCAGAGACATGCGTCGCTACTTTGGCCTGCAGATCTCCAGGGCCAGAGCAGCGCACACCATCACTCTTACACAGTCACACTTGGTGCGCCAGGGCCTTCAGAGGTTTGGCCTTCAGTTCTCTTTTGCACAGCCCACGCCTCTGCCTGTAGATCATGGGCTCTCGGCTCCAGTCCCTGAGGAGCATGTAGAGCCTAGTGGTCCGTACGCGTTGCCTCATGTACCTGATGACTTGCACCGGTCCAGATCTCACATACTCTCTCAGCATGTTGGCTCGCTTTGTGGCCACAGGCAGACACCGACCACAACACTGGTCGGCCGCTAAGAGTGGGCCGGAGTAGCTGGGCGGGAGTAGCTGGGTGGGCGTAACGGGGCCGGGCTGGCGCTAGGAGTTGGCTGAGCGGGCGTCACGGGGCCGGGCTGGCGCTAGGAGTTGGCTGAGCGGGCGTCACGGGGCCGGGCTAGCGATGGGAGGGGCCGAGTAGGCGCTAGGAGGGGCCTGGTGGGCGCTAGGAGGGGCCGAGCAGGCGCTGTGAGCCGGCGGGCGCGACGGGCCGGGCGTGCGCGGAGGGGCCAGGCGGGCGCGACGGGGCCAGGCGGGCGCGACAGGGCCAAGCGGGCGCGACGGGGCCAGGCAGGCGCGACGGGGCCAGGCGGGCGCGACGGGGCCAGGCGGCCGCGACGGGGCCAGGCGGCCGCGACGGGGCCAGGCGGCCGCGACGGGGCCAGGCGGCCGCGACGGGGCCAGGCGGGCGCGACGGGGCCAGGCGGGCGCGACGGGGCCAGGCGGCCGCGACGGGGCCAGGCGAGCGCGACGGGGCCAGGCGGGCGCGACGGGCCAGGCGGGCGCGACGAGGCCAGGCGGGCGCGACGGGGCTAGGCGGGCGCGACAGGGCCAGGCGGGCGCGACAGGCCAGGCGGGCGCGACGGGGCCAGGCGAGCGCGACGTGTTATGTGATGTCATCATATGCTATCACATTCTGTCTGCCTCCCATCCCTTGTTTCAATTCGCATGTATGGTTTGACTGTGTGTGAAAGAATTTGTGTGGTGTGTGTGGGAATGTGTTTTGTGTTATTCTGTCTGAGCAGGTATCTGTGATGATAGATCTTGAGAAGATCTTTTCGATGCAACAAGAATCGCTTCAATTGGAGCAAGAACGCGAAAGCTATGAAGATTCGAAGTTCAAGCGGTTGCGTTACAATTGCGTCGGTTACAAAGTGAAGTTGTGGGGTGACTCTATATGGAGTTGGGACCATTAGGGGTTGGGGAAATTCGTCACTCTACTGTAGCAGCTGCAAATTGGTTGGGAACAACCAAGCTTGGTTGGCAAGGGTGGCCAACTTGGATGGATTGGTTGGGATGGGACAAATGTCAAAGTTGGGGTTTCTATAGGGGGGGAATCTTTGTGCTTATGGGGTTTCCTTGGTTGGGGACTCTCTTGGGGACCTTCCCTCTCGTCCCTCTCTTCCCATCCCAACCTTTCTCTTGCTCCTCTAATTCCTTGTGCGATTCTTGAACTTTGATTGAACTTTTTGAGTTTGAGTTAAGTTCTCCTCCTACAGCTTACCCCCAGTGCGTCGAAAGACATAGCGTCGCGAATACTCCATCAATCAACGTGATTCAAATTGAGAACGGTAGCTAAGATTACAAGCTACAACATATCCGAGTTTTGCAACATTCCAACGGCTAGTTTTTCGTCGACGCCGTTTCTTGTGAAGACGACTTTTTTGTCCAAAATTTCAGATTTATATTTTGAGTAATTCTAGCTCCTAAGTTCACCTAGACTCCGTCCTTAATTCTAACACGACGGGGTCAGGCGGGCGCGACGGGGCCAGGCGGGCGCGACGGGGCTAGGCGGGCGCGACGGGCCAGGCAGGCGCGACGGGGCCAGGCGGGCGCGACGGGCCAGGCGGGCGCGACGGGGCCAGGCGGGCACGACTGGGCCAGGCGGGCGCGACGGGCAAGGCGGGCGCGACGGGCCAGCCGGGCGCGACGGGGCCAGGCGGGTTTGACGGGGCCAGGCGGGCGCGACGGGCCAGGCGGGGGCGACGGGCCGGACGGGCGCACTAAGGGCCGGGCGGGCTCTACGAGCCGGGCGGGCGCTAGGGCTAGCTAGGGGGCAAGAGGCTAGGGCGCGGGCGGAAGCGGGTGGGTGGACCTAACCTACTTCTGATACCATGTTAGAATGCAAGAATGAATGACTAGTATGAGAAACCTAGAACATATACCTGTTGGGGTTGTACTCACTAGAAGCACACACCTAGGCTAGCCTAAAACTTCTACATAATATGTATAAGTTGACACCTTCGTCCTTTCGTGTTCTTTCGTTCAACCTCCTCGTGTAACCTCCGTTGATTACACGATAAGATTTTCCTCGAGTGTAGTGTTACACTTCAGAAACTCTCAAGTCTTCGAGGTATTTCCAACATAGCCTATAAGGTATATACATTATATGTTTGACAACACTACCGTGAAGTCCTCTGTTTCAAACACCAGCCAGACAGCACTCATATTTCATATAATTTATATATATATTCGTTTAGGCTTGGTAGATGTACTCATTACAGGATCCTACTGTAGAGGGGATAACCCCCCCTGCTTCTATCTCTTCCTCCTCCTAGACGATGCCTCTTTTCCCTCATCAACTTTTCTCCCTCAACATTTCCTATGCCTAGCTAGCTCAGCTCTTTAACAGAGGGTGGGTACGGAAGAGGCAGGAGAGGAGGAAGGCATAATGTGTGCGCTTATTGGGGACCCAGAGATGTGGGATGCGTGCACTGCACGCAAGGCATCCAGCAGTAAAAAGGCGAAAAACCCCAGCTATCGTTAGGAAAAGGCGAAAGATGTTTTCAGCACAAGATTTTGAACAATCAGGTTGCTTGGTACAACACGCCTATTTGAGCTTTCCCCGCAGCTTCACCCCCAGCACTCTTTCCATCTTCCCCAGAATCTGTGGGTTAGGTATGGCCTTCCCGCACTCGTACTCTTGGACAACTTGAGGTTTCTGCGGGGAAAACAAAGAGAAAAAGGAGCGAAGACGAAGGGTTGAGAAACTAATTACAAAAACGAACCCTACAAAATCGGCCCGCGAAACGATGCGGGACCCAGTGAACCTGTCCCAAAAACTGAATTTAAAACTCCCGAACTTGGGAAAGAGAAAATCTCACGATCCCACAAGAAAAACACCGTCGATGTCAGCAAACATCATGCCTTCTGAAGATCCCAACTTGTTCTCGAAAAAACATCTAAGACGTTACCTCATTAATCTTCTGCGCCAGCTGGGCCTGCGTGAGCTTGGCGTCCAGCCTGGCCTTTTGAATCGCCGTCTTCACGTCTACCGACACCTTCTCGTGAGCCAACACGTCCGTCTCCTCCGCCAGCTTTCGGGAGTGCATCGCGGGATTCACTGCACTCCCGGACTTGTTAGTTCCTGCATCGTACTTCTTGACAGACTCTATCGCTGCTCCTTGCCGCCTCGCTGCGTTCACGAGTTTCGGATCCTTGGTGTCGGCGGCCTTCTGTGGCCGCTTGTGGATGACGACTGGATCCCAGTCTTGGGAAAACGCACCGGCGGATCGGTTCGGCATGGTTGATAGCGGTTGAGATTCGAAAAGCTAGGACGAGGACCAGACGAAAGAGGATGGAAGTCGGAGTCGCAAAGACGACGAGACAGAGAGGCAAGTGGGGAGATAAGAACAGATGTGCCTTCTTATCTCTCAACAGATGGGAGATGGCTCTCACAAGAAAATGAACTGGGAGTCTTCCGAGACAAGGCACCGAATTCACCGAGGTAGGCAAGGCAAATCGGGTAATTGGAGGAACTCTCCATGCAATATGCGTGTTGGTGTGGCGAAAGCAGCTCTCTCGGGGTTGACGGAGAGGGGAGGGGTTTGGATGATGATACCTGGGGGGAAACGGGTGCGGGGAAGCGCGGTGGCGGGTGGGGAGGTTAGGGCTTGGTAGGTTGGGGGAAGTGGCAGAAGCGAGAGCGCCGAAGGGCAGGGGTAATGTCAGACGACCGCCTGGGCTAACCGCTTGGCTTCATTTCCGCGAATGACCTCCCTGATTCATGTCCGCCCGCCAGCATGGCTCGAGCGGAGCCTTGAGATTGCCAAGAAAGGGCGCAAAGCTCCAAGGTTCTTGCGGACTCCATGCTTTCGCCAACCTTCCTGATCGCACACTTGAGCTGTAACACCGAAGAGCCATGTCGCAACAAGGGCAAACCAAACCACAAAAGCAACTTACGATGACGTGGAACGGACGGCTCACGTGAATTGACCGTCTGGTAGGTTCCGTGACTGACTGCTCTGAGAGGGTTTGGGGTTTGGGGAACAGAAGGCGTGGTAAAAGTGCGCATTCGTCGTTTGAAGTGTGTTGTGATGAGGTCTAATGTTGGTCTGTAATGAAGCTCAAAGAGCGTGATACGGATTGATTAGCAAGATAAACAAGGGAAAGTATATCGGCGCTCAATATTAGGGGCCTCGATAACATGTACGCTCAGTGGCACGATAAAAACAATCAGAATTAGCGAGTTCGCAACATGACTCATCAGTCGGATTCCACCGCTAGTCAGAAACTGCAGGGAAAAAGTTATACGAATGGTCAGTAGAAGTAACCCCCGCCCGTCTCGGAACGTTTTCCCGCCCGCGCCAGTCCGAGTTCGTCATCATTGTGGCTGGCGCAATATTTTTCCCGAGCTCCAGGCGCAGTTCAAGCGAAAACCGCAGAATGCTCAAATTTAGATTCATTGAAACTTTGTTAGTCGAGAAACACGAAAACACGATTTTGTTTCGAAGCACATACTTTCGTCACGGAGGGTAGCGCGTCCCGCGATGACTAAAAATAGCGGCTTTTGTTAAACAAGCTAGGCTAGGGAAGGAGCCATGGAATAGCATAAGAGGGTTTAGCTATGAGGGATTGTCGAGAGAGAAAAGGGTTTGGGATTAGAAGAGAGAGGGATACAAGGAGGGAGTTGTACCCTCTATAGTAGGATCCAGCAAGACCTACCAAGCCTACAATGATATATATATAATATAATTTCAACACACCCCCTAGGCTTGGTAGTCACAAGCCCAACCCACATGCAACGCCTCTAAGCCTAGCACCCACATACCCTGCAGCAGAGGTGACTGCAGGGAAGGAAGGCGCTAGGCCTTCTTGAGCTGCAGCGGGGCGGAGCCAGCTGGCGGGGCGAGCTCGGGACCGACGCTGCCAGCTGGGACTGGCGCTGCGAGTTGGGACCAACGCGGCGAGCTGGGTCCGACTCGGCGAGCAGGGTCCGACACGACGAGCTGGGGAGGCGCGGCGAGCTGGAGTGCGGGCTTGCTGCCTGGTGCCTAAACCAGTATGCAGCCCACCGCCGCCCGTACGCTAACGCGACGACGGCGGCACGACGCAGCCGCCACGTCGATGCTGCCACGGCAGCGCGACAACGCCACCATGGCAGCACGACACGGCCGCCACGGCAACGCGGAAGTAACGAGAAGTGGGGGAGTACGCGGCGTAAGCGTGAGGAGGCAGCCCAGCAGGGCGGACCTCCGGCTCTGAAACCATATTAAACAAGCTAGGTTAGGGAAGGAGCCATAAAATGGCGCGAGAGGGTTTAGCTAGGAGGGATTGTCGAGAGAGAAAAGGGATTGGGATAAGAAGGGAGAGGGATACAAGGAGGGAGTTGTACCCTCTACAATAGGATCCAGCAAGACCTACCAAGCCTACAATTATATATATATATATATATAATATAATTTCTACAGTTTTGTCTCTACCACATTTACGGAAAAAAAAAGAGTCAGGTCATAAAACTTGTTGTCATTCCCGAGTCGCCCGAAAACAATAACATTTATAGATAGCTACAGTGGCGGAAACAATTGTCCGTATGTTTTGCATTAATTCGGGCTTTAGGTTTTCAGACCACTATATATTAAGCCTTAATGTTCAATTGTGGTATGATTTGGGAGGGGCACATAGTGGATGCGTTCACACCACAAATATCCAGAATAGTACATTGGATCTGACTCATATCCCAAAACATATACAAAGGGTACATTCGGACAAATAGTTCCAAGCAGAGAGAGCAAACTTCAAAAGTGTGTTTCTAGTTCCTAGCCCTCCGACCTTTGGCCTTGATCACCGCCCGCACCCTCCTCGGCGAGCTGTCGATGAGGCCAAAGCAAACCTCGGCATGGATCTTCTCCCATTCTTCCTGGACCAGCTCTTAAAGCTCCAGCATTCCAGAGGAAGACCTTTTATGCTTGTTTAGCCCCCTTTTCAGGTAAGCCCAGAGGTTGAGGTTTGATGAGAAAGAAGGCCACTCCAAGGCTACATACTCATGTTCTCCAAGTCATTCATGCTCTAGGCATAACAAATTCTTGGGGTCATTGTCCGCACCGAGATGACCTCAGAGGGGAAAATGCTATAGAAACGGATTGTCAATTCGAGTACGTCATGCAAAATTTCCCCATACACGGGCCTCTCCATGCGTCCGTCAATTTTGCGTTTGAACCCCACCCCCGCAGATGCCACACATCCCTATACTATTACCGATCCTTGTCCCCATGGTTTATCGTCTGTTTGATTTGGTGGTGTTGCAGGGTTGTGCCTTCACGAATCCAGGCAAACGCGCGGCCATTGGAGCTAAAGCAGTTGATGTTGGTCCCATGTGACCATATCACATGCTTTCGAACACTAATTGTCCACTCAGCATGCGACTCCACGAATTGTAGCCGGCCCCTGATATTTTTCTAGAACAATCATGGCTTCTATGACTGTTGCACTATGACCAGACCCGCAGACTCTAGTGTGTTTTTAAAGGTGCAAGGGTGCATAGTCAACCGTGCAACGTTACTCTAAGTTTCGCGGTGTCTACGCTAAATTTGGCCGCTCTATTTGTGATTTTACCCTACAATGGTACGACGAAAACGATCCATGATAAGATGTGCCCGACCGACTAATTGCATATTTGGCCACACCTCAGCATGGCTAGTCTCAAAGATACCATTCAATCCAAAATCGTCCACAATACTCTTGCCTACGCCCAACATTTTCACGATTTCCCTAGTGCTCACCCCCTTATGCAAATTGGTGGGTCCAGGAAGAGTGCAAGAAGTTCCCTGCTGAGGTTTGTATTAACCTCGTAGGTTACATGCCTAGGAGGGTGCGGGTGGTGAACAAGGCCAAAGGTTGGTGGGCTATGTACCAAAAACGCAGTTCTAAAGTTTGCTCTCTCTGCTTGGAAATATTTGTCCAGATGTACCATTTGTATATATTTTGGGATATGAGTTGGATCTCATGTACTATTCTGGATATTTGTGCTATAAATACATCCACTATGTGCCCCTCCAAAATTGCACCACCATTAAACATTAAGGCTTACTGTATAGTGGTCTGAAAACCTAAACATCAAATGTTATGCAAAACATACGGACAATTGTTTCCTTCATTGTACAAGGGTTTATTTTTGGGAAATGAATATGTTTAAAAGCACGTAAAGGTACTCTCAAAACCGCAATACAAAAAATCTATTAGAATTCTGTCGGTTGTCTTTTGATTTTTTTTTTCAAGAAATGTATTTACAGGAAAAGTTTTCCTCCGAATTACGACTGTACATGTCTTGTCATGCTTGAAACAAATAAGCGCACGCGCACTACAGTTTAATGTTCACGCCTAATTGGCTTAGCGCCGATCCCAGATAGATTTTCCCTTTCGTGTCAAATGTTTTCCTTTTTTGTGCGCTTGTTAATTTTTGAAAAATGTCGCACCCGATGTGGCCTAGTTAGCGTATGTGACCTAATGTACAAGGTTTCAATTTTGGAAATTTGTATGCGCAATGTCCAACGATTTTTAATTTGGGAATACTGTACGTAGTTCTCTCGTAATGCGCCTGGAGCTTGGGAAAATTATGGCGCCAACCGCAATGATGACGAAATTGGGCTGGCGCGAGCGGGAAAATGTTCAGAGACTGGCGGGGGTTACTTCTACTGACCATTCGTGGAACTTTTTTCCTGCAGTTTCTGACTAACGGTGGAATCCGACTGATGAAACATGTTGCGAACTCGCTAATTCCGATTGTTTATATCGTGTCACGGACCGTACATGTTATCGAGGCCCCTAATACTGAGCGCCGATATACTTACAGGAGGGTAGGCGGTAGCCAGGCTTGCACTGTCTCAATCTTGCGCAGGTCCACTTCTACGCCCTTAGTGGAAATCACGTGTCCCAGAAATTCCAAGTGATCTTTTAAAAACTCGCACATAGATCCCTTCACGAGCAGTCGATGCTCCTGCAGTAGCGTGAAAATTGCTTCGAGGTTTTTCAAGGGCTGCTCCCGGGTCTCGTTGTAGATCACGATATCGTCCAGGTAGACTATAACACACTTACAGTATCTACGAGGGAACTGAAGTTCTGGTACATAGTCATATGAAAATTCGCCGGGGCGTTCGTCAGACCGAAGGGCATAACTACATACTCAAAACTCCCATACCTAGAGCGATATGCAGTCTTGTGAAAGTCAGCTGCGACTACTCGAATCCAATGGTAACCTCCTCGTAAATATATTTTGGAGAAGAGCCGAGCTTTGCAAAGTTGGTCGATCAGTTCGTCGGTGCGTGGAATGGGGTAACGCGACTTGATAGTGACCATGTTCAGTGCTATGTAGTTAGTGCACATTCGGTACCCGCCTTCCTTCTTCGGGGTGAACAGTATGGGGGCGACAAATGGCGAGGAGCTTGGTTGGATGATTTTTTTTCTCCAGTTAGTAATCTAACTGTTTTCGTAATTCCTCTAACTACGGCTGTGTTAGTCGAAATTGCCGCTGCACTGTGGGTTGTGTCCCAAGTTCTAATTCGATTTGA